CATTCACGAGTTCTTTAGATAAGAGTAGCGTATTAAATGAAACAAAGATAACACAACCTCCACGTCCGACATATTGAATGAAATGAATGGAGCACACACGAGCCGAGCGTTCAAAACGAGCTTTCGATACGCCTCACCAGATGTGGTGTAATGTAACATGCTCGCCGCGAATGTTACATTACGAGTAAATGTTACAAGTCAGTCGCCACCTTAATGTGGCTGACATACAAACTCCAGCCGTGAAAACCTAAGGACAAGAATTTTATATTTGTGGTTGTCAGTTGTCCAGTCATGTGCTAAGGTAGTGACCGATTACTTCCATAGTCTTTTCCCATTTCGTACTTGTTAATCACCATATTTTTCACTGCTGTTTTGTTTGAGATATTTAAGTGTCATTAAATAAACCACTAATGAATAAAGAAGTCTTTCAAGCTGTGATGTAGAGCAGGTGCTGTAGTTCTGCTTATTTGGTGGGCAGATGTTTAAGCAACCTTTGGAAGACTTGAGCGAATCAGAAGGCCAGTTACTGAACAACACAGAACTGAAGATCATCTTTGGAAATCTTCCTCGTATCTATGAAGTGCATAAACAAATGTTGGAGGATGCTAACGAAGATGCTTCTCGAAACGCTGGTGCTGTCTTCATTCAGCCACCTTACACGGCTGGTAGCCCGAGAACAATTTATTATACTTAATCACCGTGAAAGATTCAGATCATACATATTTTGTTGTAATGTCAAATTTTTTATTATCTGTAGGTATGCAAAAAACGCTCAAAGGCATTCAACTCTTTGAAAATTCCTAACACCACAAGGACCTTGCGTTCTACGAAGCTGAGTAACGGGAAGCCATTTAAACATATTCGCCTTGTTGCCTTGTCCAATATCAAGCGAGTGATTGACATCAAGGAAGGAGAGGGTAAGTGGTTACTTAGTGAACATTTTGTAATCTAAAATCAAACTTGAAATGTTTATGTTCTTGCTTCACTTTTGAGGTTTGAAAAATGTGAGTATGCATACATACAGTGATTACAAATGATTTTGCACTTATGAAAATTGATTTTAAATAATATGTAATATTTTTGTCACACACAGCAAAGTGGTTTAAAGTCTTAAGGCATTCTCCCTGATATATGCCTGATTGGTTGTGAAACGATGAATTCTGGTGATGTACATTGTGTGGATGTGATCTGGCTTAGGTGGTTTGGATTGTGATGGTGATCAATATCCATAATAGGGATGTGCTTATTGCCAGAGAATTCCTTGTGTTTTGTTAAAGCGCTATTGGTGCAGGCTTTCTGGTGAAAGGAGTTAATGATGGTGGCTTCTGATGTTATCCATTTCAATGGAGTTTTGAAGTGTATGATTCTGAAGTGGAGACTTGCATTTTTCTCATGAACTGAGAGTCCTGGTGTGCGTTTCATCTTTGCAGATTGCCATAATGTGTTTGCATTGATGTGCCAAAGTAACCAGGAAATGAAAGAGAAGTTGTACTCATTTACTTTGGCAGATGAAGAGACAGACAAACTTTCCTTTCTCAGGATCCTGTGTCGCCAAATGGCTAACACAGTCTGCAAAGCAGATGCAGTGAGTACAGTTTTAGTGATGACGTGATATTCTCTTTGTATTATCCCTTACCTCACATAAGTGAAAATCCCACCTCCTTTCTGTCCATTAGGACATGGCAGGGACATCACGTACCTGAGGCTCCTTGGCTTTCCAGTTACCAGCAATGACATGTTTTCAGATCCATTCATATTAGTACATACAAGCTCTGTAATTCTATCTTCATGTCATATGATTGAGTGTCCACCTTAATGATTTCCATTTTCTTCGTAGCTGACATTGCATAACATTTTATGTTGGTTTTTGTAATTACGCATACAGCTGTATATAATACACAAGTCAGTATACTTTTGTGCAGCATCACGAGATTCAGCACTGGTGTTCACTGTATGTAACCTTGCTACCAGCTTCAGGTAGACGGATGAAGGTGGTCAGAAAGTCACCACCAATTCCATCTGACTTCTATTGCTCTAATGAGCACTACTGAGTGCTGCTAATTGTTTGCAATATGTTTCATTTATTTGAGCATCTATGTTGTTTCTCTTCATTTATATAACTTAACTTTACTAGATGGCTTAGAGAATCCGAAGGTTCATCACTGAATTAACCGAAGCCCTCCACCGGACCCTGTCCTGGGCCAACAAAATCCAGTCTCCTTCAACTCCAATAGATCCCGCCTGACATTATCCTCCCATCTACGCCTCCCCAGGGGTCTCTTCCCCTCAGGCTTTCCAACCAATACCCGGTGCACACCTCTAGTCCCATCCATGCGCGCTACATGCCCCGCCCATCTCATTCTTTTCGACTTAATCACCCTGACGATACTGGGGGAGGAGTATAAATTTTTAAGTTTGTCATTATCTTCATTTCTATAATCTGACAAAAACTTATAAAATGAGTAAGATATTTGACATGTCTTTAAAATTGCCCTTTTTGTTTTAAAGACCATGCGAATACATTATTCTTAGGGTGATAATTTTGGGACCAAATGATTTTAGGTTAGGTGAGGTGGGAAACCATTTTAAGTGGGGACTACTGAGTAAAAGTTAGTTTGGGTGTTCCTCTCTGTCACATCATGACAGGCACATGGACATGAACTGCAGTTTTCAAATGCCTCGGGCACAGTATGTTGTGAGGCTGCATTGATGTGGGTTCTTGTTGCAGGAGAATTTCCTCACTTCGCTGGACTCTCACCAATTGGACATTGACACCAGTGAACTGACACTTGGGACTCTGAGTAAAGCATTGAAGTAAGTTTCAGATATGTAATTTACATTCACCTCATTTTTCAGACATTTTCCTGGCTGAAATAGCTCAACGTTAACAATTTTACTTGTATCTGAAAAGAGGCTGATGCCATCTGTAATGTGTGAGCTGTTTTCTTAGCTCTCTTTAATTTTCATCAGACATGTAGAGCTTATAAAAGACTCCTGGCTTTCATGTAAGTATATATAGTACACTAAGTATATATGTTATATATGTTCATATCTGAACATTACAATAGTGATCTTCTGTAATGTATGCCAACTGTTGCTTTAATATGTTCCAGATTTGCTTCTAGGACGAAAATGAAAGTGGGCCGAGCCTCTAGTTTCAATAAAAATCCTAGCAAGTTGAAACGAGCAGTTTCAACAATGATGAGTCCATTTGGTAGTACAACAAACCTTACCCCAGCCTCACAACTTGCGCAGATGAGGCTTGCCAGCTGCAATAACCTTAATGTAAGCAGAGCCGCTCTTTATATTTTCAGCGTTCAATTAATGTTGATATGTCTTAAAAATTAATGTCGTCAGGTACGCAGGAGGGTCGGTGTAATGCACTACCAAAACGCCCGTAACTAAGAAACAAATGCTAATTCGATGATGCCGGCTGGCACACTGATTCACTATGAATGTAGGCCGCACCCCCTAGCGGCAGAAGCTCGTACTACATCCAGTTCACCCTCTATTGACACAGTCTTGAAACTTTCCGATCGCACCTCGTACATGTCTGGTACATCACTGAGCCTAAAGAGTGCTCTGCGCAACAAAGCCACGAGTCAAGGCTTTAGTAGAGGCGGTTCGTCTACAAAGACACGCCATCTACATCAGCACAGCAGAATCTTTCTTGAGAAACTAACAGTTGCTCAGCTAGTGTATAAATTACTCAGCCTTTACAGAACTCACAGGCTGAAATAGCGTTCAGAAGAACACGTCACTCGTCGCTCAGCCACTTGAATTGATCCTACACTCTATTTCTTTAATATACATTTTAATATTATCCTTCCATATACGCGTCGATCTTTCAAGCATTCTCTTCCCTGAACGCACTGTATTGTGTGTGTTGGTAACTTTAAGCACGGCGAAGACAAATATTCGTGGTCTTCGTCCATTGATTCTGTTGTGTGAGCTTCTTCA